AGACCACAAAGCTATCCTTTGGTTGTGAGGGCTAGTATTAAGAGGCTCTACAGAGTGCAGAAAGCTGTGTCTGGATTTGAGCCGCTTGCCCACTGGCTGTTGTTCGAAGAGTGGGTGGAGTGGATTGTTTTCTTGTTTGTCCTTTTCTTTCTGGGACAAGACCAACCTTCTGACGTGTGGAGGGGCAATACCGCAGAGCAGGTAGATGTCTTCTACTTTAGAGTTGGCCTAAGGCATCCAGTGATCGCTCTGCAAGATGAATTTAGAGCTGGGTCAATCTTGGGTGCATGGGCCGACCTACTCCATACTGGTGATGCATACTCCGCAGCAGTAAAGCAAAGCGCGAGGGCTGTCGTCCGGATTGTTCTGGCATCAGTCCCCCAGTTGATGTTGGCTAGCTTCTTGAGGATGTTGTTGCGGGCTCCAACTTTTGCCTTTGTAATGGCAATGTGGTTCTTGTAGGTAAGGGAGCGATCGAGTGTGACGCCTAAGTAGACTAGGTTGGGAGTGTGCTTCAGCCTTTTCCCATACCAGCTGATCCTTAGTTGATGGTTGGCATCCCTGTTCTTGAGGTGGAATGCGCTTATCTGAGTTTTGTCAGGGTTAGCTCTCAGGTGGTTGGTCGCATAGTATGGGATGAGACCGGCCAGGGCATCACTAAGGGACTCCTCCAACTTCACAAAAGACTGGTTCTGGGTGGCGATGCAGAGATCATCGGCGTAGAGGAAGCTCCTGGTGTTTGGGTGGATCGGTTGGTCATTCTTGTACACGTTAAAGAGTAACGGTGCGAGCACACTTCCTTGTGGTAGGCCATTTTCTGTCTGCGCCATCTGCTGCGATTCCCATTGAGAACCACAAAATATCGCCGATTGGACAGCAACGTCTGGATGAGTCCAGTCAGTCTCACGTCCTTTGTCAGCTCAAAGATCTTCCTGGTAAACGGTTAACGATGATGTAGTATTATACTTATTTTGAAACTTTTTGATATATACAATAGGCTTGTCATTAAAATTAGTAAATAGAGACAGGCTGCTGCATTTACAATATATGATTACAGACGCTACGTTTTATTTTATTGAATAAATATTAAATGTTGAGTATGTTGACTGACATGCTTTTGAAAAGAAATTCAATTGTTCGAATGATTTTTCTGAGAGGGATAAAAGTAAACATTTTGTACGGTTAAGATGTATGATTATACTTATTTGTTCATTCTTTGTCTCTACAGAGCTTTTTTCAAATTTGTTTTTTATTTGCTTTGGACTTTTTTTCATAACGTTTTGATGAATAAAATAGGCTTGTCATTAAAAGCTTTAAAATGATTTCTATTTACATAGTAAATAGAGACAGGCTGGCGCATTTATAAAATATATGAATACAGACGCTACTTTTTATTTCATTGAATAAATATTAAATCTTAATTGTGTTGACTGATATGCTTATGAAAAGAAGATCAGTCTTTTAGAGAGGGATAGAAATGACCATTTTTTACGGTTAATGAAAATGTATGATTACACTTATTTTGTCATCGTCTCTACAGATTTTTTTTCGATATTTTTTCAATATTGTTTTTTATTTGCTTTTGGAGTTGTTTTTGTTTAGGGGTGGAGTTTAGCAGGTAGAACAAAGTCAATCTATCTCATCATTACGCATCCATTGTCTTTTTCACTTTATTTTTCAACTTTTCCGAAAGTTTCCAATACAATATCATTTGTATTGATCATAGTTTAATCTACCTTTATGTCCCAAAACAATCTATTGATTATTGCTAAATTTAAGCAGCAATTATTCTCCATTGCTAGTCTTTAATATAGCCATTACATGGAGTAGCAATTTACAATTTGTTGAACTCACGACAATTCGTTTTAGAGTTGGTACCACTGTTCGCAGGATTTAGCAGAGGGGAATAGAAGTGACTGTTCTCACGGTTAACGACGATGTATTATTATACTTATTTGCTCCTTTTCTCCACAATGCTATTTAAATAATACTTTTCTTGGCTTGCATCCAATAGATTAAGATCGCGTGTTCGATCTTGTATCAGGCTTCCTGGGGAAAGCACGTAATCCTTTCAAGAACTTTTTGATGAATAAAATAGGCTTTTCATTAAAAGCTTTAAAATGATTTCTATTTACATATTAAATAGAGACAGGCTGATGTATTTACAATATATGATTACAGACGCTACGTTTTGTTTCATTGAATAAATATTAAATCTTGAGTATGTTGACTGACCTACCTATAAAAAACAAATCACTTGCTCGGATGAGTTATCAGAGAGGGATAGAAGTGAGCATTCTCACGGTTAAAGTGACTCGGTAACTTTGTTGAAGTTTGATGAAATTGTGTGTAAGAAATATTACTTATCATATTCATTCTACTGTACTAGCCTTCTAGCATGCACACAATCCTGACAAATTTCTCAAATAACAAAGATATTTATGTTTTTTTAAAGCGTCACTGGTCAACAAACACCCTCTGACAGTAAGTTCTCCCATCTATTTCTGAATTTTCCCAACCGTTTTTTCATGAAAAAAAGACACGAGACAGGCTTTTAAAAATCATTCAGCACTTAATTCAATGTCTGGAATGATATAGATCTATATAGAGCCAGTTCACAGCTTTTTTGATGGTTTACATTTACCTTAAAATGTAACAGAATTTTAATAATATAGTAAGGAGAAATTAAGGTATCGATCAGATCAGTTTTTCTCAGTTGTTCTCATTAATAATGGTCTGGGTTTTTTTTTTTAATTTCAGATTATACCTGATTGTACATCTAGCATCGAAGTCACTACCTTAGCACCAGTATCTCTTATCTAAACAATGTTACCAAGTCCCTTTAAAGGGATCTGGTAACTTTGTCTCAGATTCTGACACAAAATCCTGGATTTAGCTCATGCTGCAATGATAATTATAAATATTTAGTCAGGAATCCCTTGACTTTTACCAGCCGATCGCCTGTCTGATTATCCATTTCTTTATTTATTGGAAATCGAGACCTAATTTTTCGTTTTTATAACACTACAGTCTATTGGAGAAACCGAGTATGGTAAAGCCGGTCACTCAAATATTTTTAATTTTTTTAAAGCCATTTCTTGATCATTTTGAAGCGCAATATTTTTAGGGCTTCAATTTTACACCATATCACAGACACTAATATTGACACCAATCCAATTGCTGTAAAATAATTGTTCGGATTGCACCCAGTAGATTTAAATCGCATCCTCGATCGTGTAATTAGGATACGGAGGTAAAAGGCGAACAGTGTAAGAATTAAAATGCATGATATGAGAAATACATGCAAATATTATGATATGAAATAGGTTAATATAAAATTAGGACATTCATTAGACAAATTCATACAAAATGATTAGAAAGAAGAAAAAAAGGAAAAGAAGAGAAAACAAATGAAGCCGTTGAAGAAAGAAGGAAACCTGGTTCATTGTAAAAGAAGGTGTTTTTTATAATCGATATGTTAAGATTATTGCTCGAGCTTGTTATTAAAAACAAGTCAGAATTAAATCTTACAACCAACGGGATCTACTGTCTATAAGCCAAACAATCATAGATACAACCATAACTAGGTTCAAAGACCTATTTGGGTTCGAAAGCAGGTTTAGATTGAATTAATCTTTATTTCATTCATCATAAAAAAACATCATATTAAACATATAAAATACAAATCATAGCGAACAAGCTAAAGAGAAACATTTACAATACAATACATCAACAACACAAATGTCATATGAATGTGGAGACAGCTAGGAAAGCCAAAGGCTTTATTGGTGCTGCCACTGAAACAGTAATACAGTATAATACAGAATAATATTGTTGTTGAAAACGGTGATTACAACAAAAAATAATGCCTAAATAGAGGGGGAAAACAAAACAGAACCTGACCGTGTACGGAACCAATCTTTATTTATTTTGTTGGATTAAAAATGATTTATATTTCCTTTTAAAAACGTTAATTGATAGACTAGATTTTTTATCATGAGGTATATTATTCCACAACTGTGGCCCTTTAAAAAATATAGATTGTTTAGTTATATTTAGTCTTATTTTATTTAAATGCAAATTAGAAGAACTTCGAGTATTATATGAATGTAATGCAGAATTAAGACAAAATTTCCTGGAAAGACTAATTGGTACAAAATGATTGTAACATAAATACATAAATATTGCAAGACTATAATTACAAAGATCTAGGACATTCAAAAGTTTTAATTTGTGTGCGATGCATCGTAGAATTTTATTTAATATCATTAATCATCAGCCTAGATCTGAGGCTACATTCACACAGAATCCTGTAGAACTACTTTCAATTGTCAAACCGACCACCAACATCAGGGCATGCAAGCACACTCTTGGATAGCAAAGGGTCCTAACAAACAGAAGTACTTAATAGAAGATTGTGTCTAAGGGGGTGGTGCCTTTTCAACTATTGGCCCATGGAGTAATATTGGTAATACCTGTGAAAAATGCCATAAACGGTATGTATACTGTAGATGTACATTTACAGAGTTTTATTCCACTCAAAATGCGCATCCTGTCAATAAACATCGATTCATTTGAGATAGCATGAAATTACTTATCCGTCATATTATCCGATCCTTTTCTATCTCTGTGTTTTCCATGACAACATATATTATATGCTAAATCGAAAGAGTATTTCAACGGAAAGCTTTATGGTGTTCTAAAAACTTTAAAGTATAAATATATATACTTACCCGATATTTCTGCGTAAATCTCACTGTTATGTTTCATTGCTGTGTGCAATATCCAACTTCCACGTGTCAATGAAACACGGTTATCAAATCAAACTCAAAATGAAAAGAATATCACTTGAAAGATCTCTCTCATGCAGATAATACAGATTCGGTCAACAACATTTTTACAAAAATATTTATTTGTAAGTTTTTTTTCTCCAGATTTTAAGCATGGGTTTCATGCATTACTTAAAAGAAATCCAAGAAAATGTACTTTTAATTACATACCTGAAGGAACATTACTTGTTTTCTAATATCAGAGATCTTGTCCTCTTCTGTCTGGGTCAGTTTGCCTGAATCTAGAATGTTTTCAGGGTCAAAAGCTACTTGCGAGAAGAGAGAGATAGAGAGGGAGGAGAGAGAGGTGGACACGTTGAGACAGAGAGGGGAGGGAGTCACACTCAGATAGAGGCAAAGAGGGGGAGTAGGGGTAATTAAGAAAAATACGAAAAAAAATTATGATGACTTACCTTCATCTTGCGTACCTTCCTTTGAAACAGCAACGGCTTGGGTGACTCCAACAAGACACAGACATGAAAACAGAACTAGAGTGATGACAAAGAACGAATGCATCTTGAAAAGTGTGTTGAAAGTAGCCGAGAAATGTTTGTAAACTTAACTTCGAAAGTAATGTTTTATAAGAGACTTTCTGCAATCACTTTGACAAGAAGATGATTTCGACTATCCAAGGAGCGGGATTGCTTCGGTATTTATACCTCTTAAGCCCCTCCCACTCTTTGCTAAATTTGGTGACAAGGATGAGCCCAAGCTAGTTCGGCCAAACCATTTGTGTATTTAGCAGAGTGTTTTTGTATTATGCAGATTTCATATATTGTTTGTATTTCAAATTCTCTAGAACCGTTTACATTAATATGTATTAAGCTGAGCTGAGCTATTGCGCAGAATAGGCTAGCTTGACAAACACATTATAATGTGAAAGGGGCAAGGTCATTTCTTATGTAGAAGTACATGTAGAGAGTCACCCTTTCACATGCGTTCTTTAAAATGTTTGTGATGATAGCTCAAGATGACTTGTGATGAATTTCTATTTCTGTTTTATTTGACTGCAGCTGTCCAACAGGACCACTTGATATGATAAGCCATCTTGAAACCTTCAATGCTTTTTCAGTTATCAAAGAAACTATGTCCCTTTTGTAGCCAACATCAACTTCCGTACAACTTTGCAGGAGTTATGAATATGTCATGTACATCCTATCTGTGAAATTTAAACGTTAGCAGTGTCCTAGTTTTCAGATTATGCAAGGAAACCTGTTAACCTTCTAGACTTCACTGATAGACATTATTGAGTGCCTGACTGACATCTTTTTTTCTTCGATAATAACATACATAATATGAGCTGTAACAGGTTCATGAGCATTCGTCTACATTAAACCCACTACTTGTAATGGCCAAAAATAAACTGATTAAATCTTTGTGCGGCACAAAACATACCACCGTTCGGTAAAAGGGTCTGGAATTATGAAGCACATCAATATTCGCCAGTTTTCTAACGTGAAATACTCTTTTGTCCTTATAGCCACACTTCCATTGAAGATAAGCGTAAAAAGTTAGGATTTGTATCCATATTCTTTGAGTTTTATTTTAGACAAAAAAACTTTTTTTTTTGGTTTCGTTAATGCAAAGACTTTACAGTATTAGAGTGCCTAATAAGAGTAATCAGCATTTAGAGAAATATAAAACAGTAATAATCATATCTTAATAATGGTTTGCGTATGAATCATTTTTAAATTAATTTTTATCAAGAGGAAGTCAGATAATGATTGTCAGAGAAAAAAAAGCAATTTTTTAATGCAAATTGTGCTTTCGTTTGCAAAAATCGATCACAAAGAAAGAAAAATTATCTGGAACAAATTTCAAAATATTATGGTCATGGAAAAATAACTGAACATGGATAGCTAATTATGGAGTAATAATAGTATTCAGCGCTTCGGACACTCAGGAAGAAACGCCTGAAATGTAAATCAAACTGTAATTGCCATTACCTTTACCAAATCAACAGAACAGAATGGAATTGGATGGCAAAGAAGTCTGTTTAATTCAAGGGTAGGACTCATAAGAAAATTTGAACACATGTAGGGCCTGAGTTGTTTGCAGTTACAGTGTATGTACCAAATAGCTTGTCAAAAAGAAAGACGAATAAGAAGAGGAACAAAATGCGGTATACTTTTAGTGCAAATTTGAATGCTTGATATACTACTGCTCATTCTAAACCTAATTTTAGTCGTTTTTCATATTTTACCTTTGAGCAGGGTGGGCCGGTTAATACCGGGCGGTAAATGCTGCCTAGCAAATGTTGACAAAGAGAGGGGGAATACAGGGAAAATCTTGATTTGAAAAAATATATATAGTCCTCTTTCCACGCACTCTTCCCACCCTAAAATGTCGCTACACATCAACCATCGCGCACCTACATACCGAGGCCACACATATATCCACCCACACCCCACTCACACTAAACCAGTCTGGAAAACACTGATTTTCCAACACTCCGTCCCCATCCCTTTCTCATTATCCATCTAGCTCAAATTATTCTTCTTTTTGTGTCAGTCCTGTTCCTTGTCAAGCTTGCCCCCCCCCCGACCAAAACAGTTTTTAACCACATTTTCCTTTCTTTCTCATTATATTGTGTGCCTATTTTTTTTTTAAGGATGAAACCCATGTTCACTATAAATTGCTCCTACGGTCCTCTGTAATATTATCAAGCAGATAAAATTGATTTAAAGCAATTTCCACTCAGTCAAACCTGTTTTCTCACAATCGTTTTAGCATTATCAACAACATTAAACAAACCACAAAACGTTTGCAATTATAAAGTCAATGCCTGTTTAATTCAGTACAATTAAAGTAAATTCTAATATGTTAACATATACATTGAACGATCATTCGGTTTCGTATCACACTTCTGTAAGAACGAATACAAACTTTAGTCAGAAAATTCAGAGTAGCCCAAGAATTATTAATTATTTCCTGAAGGAAAAGAAAAAGGATCATGAAATTCACTAACAACATTAAGAAAACCATCGACAAACTAGGCCTAATTTTGTTCATACAGTTGATCACTGTTGTGTGTATAAAACTAAGGTTAACTCGTAATCACTGGAATGTGTATGCAACTAAGTTGTACATTTTATCACTGTTGTGTGTATGAAAAAAAGATTGTTCTAAGATGTTCAAAGATCATGACGAGAAATACAAACTGTGTCAAACTATACGAAATTAAATTATCAAAAGGACTTCAGATAGTACAGACAGCGCAAGTAATTTCGTAACCATTGATGTAGGGTCCACAATCCAGGCCCGCACCCACAAGACACCAGACCTCTGTCAGGTACAACAGCGAACCATCCTGATTCCCCCAGGTACCCGCTTTAGGAACCATCTCTCGGTCCACACACACAAATTCCGATCTTTTGTGTACGTTTTTCTCTGCCATAATATAACCAGCGTACTCCAAACGCCACTCTTGAGAAGGACACACGTTGCGGGCAGGAATCATAAGTTTGCTGGTACGGCCAGAGGGCGCCCTGCAGACTGCACAGGTCGGAGTATGGTCATGCATTGGTTGCATGCGTGAAGGACCAGTATTGACTTGGTATTCAGAGGAGTATATTAGGGCTCGTTCACCGTGTAGGGAGGTTTCTACTTCGTCATAGATAGGCTCTTCCGGCATACAGAGATAATTTGAGCCGCTACCACTTCCAGCGAAGGATGCACCTCCAATAGAACCTGAATAAATCACAAAGCAATGTAACACAAATACAGGTAAACCCACTACAGTTCAAATTCATCAGAAACAAAAGCATGATGTAGGACCAATGACAACAACTGTTATTAGGCAACTCCGGAGAACGTCCAAGGACTAATTTCAAACCAGATACAAATTCCAACTTTGGTGGAGGGTGGCTATTAGTGATACGGGCGTGGACTCAAACAGCAAGCCATGTGATATACAGCCTGATGACATAATCTACGACACCCTTCTACAGCACATGAGGGCATGTGAATGTTGCACTTGGGCTAATCCTCATGGTTGGTAATGGGATTACATAGCTCATTTCCCTAAAAAATTGACAGGGGCGTCGTGGTCTAGTGGTACGGAACCGGCATGTGGATCACATGGTTCGCGGTTCGAGGTCCGCACTTACTGTGAGTTGGTAAGACACATATCTAAATTTGTCACTCTCCACCCAGAAGAAGTAAATGTAAACTTGGTAAGATTTAATTCATGAAATGCTTTTAGTGCTTTTTTAGGGCTGCTGGACTAAATCCAGGGTAATTATAGAACTTGTAGGCACCTTGAGCATCCCATAGGATTGATAATTGTGCAATATAATTGTGGTTATTATTGCTACCTTAACATTATTGAACGCTAGTGGTCATTTTGTTATAGCATGACATTCAGTTTTTTTTTTTAAATCTCGCATATACTGTATAAATAAGAGTCAACATTACAATAACTCAAAGAAACTTGACATACCTTTGTTTGCATTCACTTAAACCCCAACCCATTCTTGTGCACTTAAGCTTTAGCCAGAGGGGCTATCGAATACATGTGATTCGTTTGTGGCGATGAAGACTTTTTTGTCGCACAACATCAGATTGATTAAGGATTACAGTAACGACTTTCGAAAAATGAAATCGAGGCTTAGTTAATACCCTACTGTGTGTGCCATCATGTTTGAAATACGTTGAAGCGTTCGCACATTCGAATATGACAGACGGACAAGGCTATTTAAATTGCCTGTTATTAATTTTCAGAAAGTTCTTGCGATCTTGTCAAAACATTTCCAGAGTTTTTCCCCGTGGAATATTACCCATCTGTACGAACCTGCATAGATGAGTTCTGCATCCTCAGGACACACATCGTTACCCCAGCGAATATAGATGACACCAGGGAGACTTGTCATGTTACCTACTGGACGCACTACCGCATCGCCGCCGGATTCAGTTGGGTTTGTTTCGTCGCTGGGTGTTTCTTAAGGTAAAATTTAAACATCCAGACAATTTATAGGAATCCTATAGATAAATCTAACAGTATTCCAGACGTTTGGCATCTACATTGGTGGTACAAAAAATGCCATTATTAGTGGCAAATTCAATCGAGTTTATACAAACGGGATTCAGTTGTGTTTGTTTGGTCGTTACGTGAAGTGGGTTTTTCCTCAGTGAAATATTAAACATTTAAAAATGTCATGTATCAGAATCCATAGACGCAATCGATTTGATATGAATATAATCAATTATATTACATAACTTAATTTTTGTGTAATTTGCCGGGATTATGTTCTCGCCTTTATCAAAGACTGATTGTTGTTATAACATAATAATGTGAGAAGACACTCTAGAGAAACCTCCGACTTTTCGTCTCCATATCGTATTTTTTTAATTTACACCTATAGTATATATTTGTTGTATAAATTGTCATAGACCGCACAGGAGTTACAATATCCAAATTATTTTTCAATAACTTATATTTTTATTCCGCTAGTCATGCAATTTCCGGCTTGAATATTTATCATGTCACAATTTAATATGAATGTTCTGAAACATTTGCATGTCGTGCTATATCGTATCAGATTTATGTCGTTATAGACCTACCTTGGGGACTTGTCGGTGCATCCCGTCCGTCTCTCCCGTCCCTTCCGGCAACCCCCTGCGGGCCTGGAGGACCGCTGTGTCCAGGAACACCAGCAGGGCACAAGAAACATTGACCTAAAGAAGAAGCAGTGAATATATTTCATATCAAGTTCAATGATCTGCGAGGCATAAACACTTCTGCCTCCACAAGCATACTAGCCCCGTTTGAGGTTTATTCTCAACCTGGATGATCATGGCCTACGTCATACGTTCCATTGATTAGTTCATATTTTTTCTAGTTGACGCTTGGAAAATTTTAGTTTCGAATATTGATATATCCTATTTTCGGACTTGAAGGGAATTACATGGCCAACCAACACGACCTATGGCTTAGGAAGTTAATTTTGGCACTTAGGGCTCTCTTATGTTTACCTTTTATTATACCTAACGCATATATGAGCTTCAATGATGTGTTTACTTTCGTTACATACAATTTACTAGTACTGCCCTGTGTAATGCAGTGGTTTCCCATTTGTTTTTGGAAAATGTTGAGGTCGATTTCCTGCTTGTTACATTGCTGGCTTTAAACTCGACCAGATTAGTCCGTTCTTTGTTTCTATTCTTCTATCACACGCATCGATCCCACATACAGCGCGCTCTCTCCACTGATCGCGCTATCCCCCAAATTCCGGTCCACTTCATAATGAAAGGAATGGCTAGGTCTACTTTCCACGTTGAGGGTGTCTTAATTTTATTAGCTGATTAGACGCGTGACACGGAAATGGTACAGAGGCTGGACGAGCTTTGAAGCCCCACTGTACTACTTGTAGCTACTTGTTCCCTCTTTATAGCAAACAATTCCTAAGCGGTGCCCGTTGGTCCCCCATGATCCTCTTTTTCTTATGTTATTTGAGAGCTGGGTTGTTGAGATAGCCACCTGTTAGTGACCACGCTGGGTGGTCTAATCCCTTCTAGCCAAACTTGTACAGACGGGCTTTAAAGGTGCCTCATTGCCTAATTTATTCATAGATGAGCCTTAATGTGCGATGGGCATTAGAGAAATCAAGAAACTTCTGGTCCCTATGTCATAAGAGATGTTATCAATATTAAACTAGTTACAATCTTAGGAAATGTTATTATAAGGAAATGGACCTGGTGTTCATACCAGAATACATAGGGCATGAATATGGTCCAGATGGGTTCTGACCCAGGCTTGGCTGCTCTGCGCCAGATGATGGAGTCGATGTCGGGAGAGCTGACGGAGAGTCGAGTTCCCTTCGACGTCGTGTCTTTTCAGGTTCTCCCAGCTCAAACTCGGTCGCGAGAGAGTCAGGAGTGTGAATCTTTGCCATCATTGATGGATTCTTCGCGACGAGCTCGAGAGTTCAGAAGGAACGGGTGATCTCAGCAACGGATTCCTACAAGATACAAATTTCCAAAAGAAAATTACTTATCCATACCCTCGATATTATGTTCTGTGATTAAGGTGGTGCCTGGTGTCGAATAATTGACGACTCTCTAATCATATGTAATGGAAAATTGCAAGAGAACAAAATGATGAAACGTTCTTTTACAATATGATTAACGGTAACCATTGATCCATGCAACTAAGATTCTCGTCGAGTCGTCAAACGAAAATGAGGAATTAATTCTTTGATGATACTGATTTTCCTTTTCCACTATGGTTTATGAAATGTGACACATTTTTAAGTGATTATAGGGTTGACGTTTGGTATTCAGTACATTAGTGGGCTAACTCAGCTCACTTCAATTTTAATTTCAATTTATTTATGTTTGTAACAAAACATTACAAATCAATCATTTACAACAAATATAGAAATACATATTGGAAACAGAGGGGTCCACTTAAAAGCAATGCTTTTACAAGCGTGGACACCTCAAATGAGACTTAACAATGAAGAGTAATCAAATTAACAAGTCTGTAACTACAAAACGAACTACAGAATAGGGGGAAAGGGGAATGCCAACAGAGACGAGAACGAGACAAGACAGTACTTTATATGACAAAGATAGAAGAACACGGTCATAATACAAAGAGTAGACAATGCCAAAAACAAGTGAGAGATAGGGGGTACAGAAAATAAAACAAAATGGTGAACTGCATATGGGGTTGAGAAGAAGATGACATAAATGCGTCGCGTACACACCGCAGTCAGTTTGCGCACAGCGGCTGGCGTGGTCTTTCAATCGCCATTTACGATACTTAAAGGGATAGTTGAGTTTTATGAGATAATGAAAAACTGAGTGTCAAATTTGAAAGAACATACTATTTAAAAGACAAAATCATCTTTGTTTGATCAAAATCGGTTCAGAGACGGCTGAAATATAACGATTTCTAATACTGTGTACCACCACAAATATTAGATATTTTGAAAAATTTGAAAAAAACCTCTAAAAAAACCGAAATAATGCTTTTTACGTCGTATTTCAGCTAATGCCGATGTTGGCTTTTTTGTTGGCATTTTCGTGTTGCTTATATAACGCACAACCAGCCGGCCCATGTGTTGTTATTTTTCATTAAATAATTAATTAACGGTCACCATATGTTTTTTTTTAGGGTGGAGTTGAATTGGTATGCTCGTATTAGCTAAATTTCACACATTTTGGGGTCTAATATTACCTTCACAGCAATTTTAGGTTCTAAAAGGGCACTATAAATGTCATAAGAATAAGAACAATAACCATGCACATTGAAGGTCTGAAAACAGAACTCAACTATCCCTTTAAAGGTATTACAAAGTTTTGGTATGGAGTCATGAATTTGGTTCAAATAGGAAACATAAGCGATCCTACAAAATTCAGTGGTCGTTGTCGCGGTTGAAATCGAGTCTGAAGTGATAAAATTGTAAATAATAAACTCTTTATGTTGTATAGCTCCCTCTCAAGGTCAAGATATTAATTAAGCTATAAAACAATGTTTCTTGACTAAAATCGACCAATTGGCTATTCCAGTTTGGAAATTATATATTACAACTGCATATTCTGAGATGTTCATGGCCGCAGCTACCATTGTATGCCGTAGGCGCTATTTGAAATTTATCGAAATTTACCGGAAGCACCGGAAAATTTTGATATTCAATTTTTCTCGAAAGCAGAAGTCTTTTAGGGGCTATTTTTTGTTACTGCTTAAAACACACGCACAGGGGCCTCTTAATATTTCAAAACTGTAAAGAATCTTTATCTAGCCAATTTTCAAAATTTCCCAAAACTTTGTATTAATTTTAAAGGGTGACTAAATTACAAATTTATGTTGACTTTTGTTCATCTGTATTAATGTATACATCACATATTTTTTGACATATTGATGTACATTATGTCATATATTTGATATCATTTTCTATATTACTTTTTTTCTACCTGCTAGGCTCCACCCCTACAAAAATAATTCAAAAGTAAATGACTTCTGTGACATCATCTTGTCAGTCATTGATCAGTCAGCTGGATAAACAAAATACAATGGTATGTACCATGGGCGTCAATCCTTACGTAATACCTATTGTTCAGGGGGATGAATGAATAGATCACCCCCACCCCCCCCCCCCCCCCCCACCCCTGAGCAATAGGTACCAATTACAGATTTACGCCCATGGTATGTACCTTCCCATCAAATGACCAACTACAATAGCATTTCATGTTTTCATATATTAGCTTCTTTTCATGATGTTGTTTGAGGATTTCTGACATAGAAAGTGCTCAAATGTAATTGAATTTTGTGATTGGGCATAAAAACATGCTATTCTGAACAGGCAGTCAGTTGATGAGAAAGGCCATACCAATGTATTTTGTTCACCTAGTTGACAGATGAATGACAGGCATGATGATATCATAGAAGTCACTTGCTTTTGGATATATATTTTTTTTAGTGGTAGAGCTTATCATTAGGCATCCAATGTCGTCAACGTTAAATATGGTTCATTATCATCGGCTTCCGTGATAAAATGTATGTCTTTTTCATTTCATTTCCGATTTTTTCGAAAGTTTTCAAGACAATATCATTTTGAATAATCATAGTTTCATCTACATTTATGTCCCAAGAGCAATCTATTGATTTTGGCTAAATGTAAGCGACAATTATTCTCCATTGCTACTGTTTAATACAGCCATGACATGAGTAGTAATTTACTACTTTTGGGACTCTTTCGATAATTCGTTTTAGAGTTGGTACCACTGTTCGCAGGATTTACCAGAGAGGGAAAGAAGTGACCGTTCTCACGGTTAACAACGATGTGTTATTATACTTATTTGCTCATTTTCTCCACAATGCTATTTGATTTTTTTTTTTAATTGGCTTGCACCCAATAGATTAACATCGCGTGCTCGATCTTATATCCGGCTTCCTGGGGAAAGCAGGTAACTTCAGGAACTTGTCGATGAATAAAATAGGCTTGTCATTAAAAGCTTTAAAATGATTTCTATTTTACATGGTAAATAGAAAAAGGCTGCTGCATTTACATCATATTATTACAGACGCTACGTTTCGTTTCCTTGAATAATTACTAAATCTAGGGTATGTTGACTGACATGCTTATGAAAAGCAAATTAATTGATCGGATGAGTTATCGGAGAGGGATAGAAGTGAACATTCTCACGGTTAAAGTGACTCGATAACTTTGTTGAAGTTTGATGACATTTTTTGTATGAAATGTTACTTATCATATTCATTCTACTGTACTAACCTTCTATCATGCACACAATCCTGACAAATTTCTCAAATCACAAAGATATTTATGTTTTTGTTTTTTTTAAAGCGTCACTGGTCAACACCCTCTGACAGTAAGTTCTCCCAACTATTTCTGAATTTTCTCAACCGTTTTTTCATGAAAAAAGCCTGTCAGGCTTTTTAAAAACATTCAGCACTTAATTCAATGTCTGGAATGGTATAGATCTATATAGAGCCAATTCACAGCTTTTGTGATGGTTTACATTTACCTAAAATTTAATGAAATTGTAATAATATAGAAATTAAGGAATCGATCAGATCAGTTTTCTCAGTTGTTCTCATAAATAATGGTCTGTTTTTTTTTTTAATTTCTGATTATCCCTGATTGTACATCTAGCATTGAAGTCACTACCTTAGCACTCTTATCTGAACAATGTTACCAAGTCCCTTTAAAGGGATCCGGTAACTTTGTCTCAGATTCTGACACAAAATCCTGGATTTAGCTCATGCTGCAATGATAATTATAAATAATTTAGTCAGGAATCCCATGACTTTTACAAGCCGATCGCCTTTCTGATTATCAAGATATTTATGATTGGAAATCGAGACCAAATTTTGCGTTTTCATAACACTACAGTCTATTTGAGAAACCGAGTATGGTTAAGCCGGTCACTCAATTGTTTTTAACTTTTTAAAGTCATTTCTTGAACATTTTGAAGCGCAATATTTTTAGGGCTTCAATTTTACAACATATCACAGACACTAATAACATGTAAGGCCGTGCATGTCTTGTTAAATGATGCCTTTAACAAAGATGAATTAGTATACCTTCTTTTTAATCGTCTCTACAATGCTATTTGAATATGTTTGTGTTATGTTAGGGTTCCTGTGAAAAGTCCAATTGCTGTAAAAGAATTGTTCGGATTGCACCGAGTAGATTTAAATCGCATCCTCGATCGTGTAACTAGGATACGGGGGAGGCGAACAGTGCAGGAATTATAATAGCTCATTTTACAGGTTATTCCCCTCGGTTCATTCCATTTTTTTGTTGATTCAATTTACAAGTTTTTTAATATAAATTCAAAGTCACAGCTCAAAGCTGATGCGTCTTGAATTTACAATTAAAAATGCAAGATATGAATAATACATTCAAATAGTATGATATAACATAGGTAAATATAACAAATTCATTCAGTAGAGAAATTAATACAAAAGGAGTAGAAAGAAGAAGGAAAAGGAAAAGAAGAGAAAACAAATGAAGCGGTTGAAGAAAGAAGGACACCTGGTTCATTGTAAAAGAAGGTGTTTTTTATAATCGATATGTTAAGACTATTGCTCGAGCTTGTTATTAAAAACAAGTCAGAATTAAATCTTAAAACCAACGGGATCTACTGTCTATAAGCCAAACAATCATAGATACAACCATAACCAGGTCAAAGACCTATTTGGGTTCGAAAGCAGGTTTAGATTGAATTAATCTTTATTTCATTCATCATAAAAAAAACATCATATTAAACATATTAAATACAAATCATAGCGAACAAGCTAAAGAGAAACATTTACAATACAATACATCAACAACACAAATGTCATATGAATGTGGAGACAGCTAGGAAAGCCAAAGGCTTTATTGGTGCTGCCACTGAAACAGTAATACAGTATAATACAGAA